TCTTTTTTGTGTTTGTAGCATAGTGGGCAATATCTGAAATATAAACTGGACCGATTCAAAAAGTTTCCGATATCAAGCTACATAGGGATACGATATTGCCTGTCCAAATAAAAGAATAATTTTAATTATAAATTAATATACTTTTGGTTGAGTCGGATAGCATGAAAAATTTACATACATATATCACGGTTTCAATGGAACTGTTGAATTTGTCAGCGCCTTATATTTCGATTCGGAAAATTGTCCTTAATTAATAATTGATGACCCGAATGGCGTAGTGGGTAGTGTACTTGCCTCCTGCACCAGAGGGTGTGGGTTCGATCCCCGCTACTGGACAAATATTGTATGATGAACATGGTGTTTTTCTAGTGTAATTTAGTAATTTACAAAAGAAAAGTATGTTTAAGTATGTTTATCGGTTTTCTAGTAGCCATAATACAAGCTTTGCTTAGGGACTAGAAAATGTTGTGTACAAATGTGTCCTAAATATTTATTTATTTATTTTATAATGTTCCAAGTATGTGCATCTCTGCTATATTACATGCAAGCAATCTAAGTATGATTGAAATGAGAGATAATATGAATCAATTCTGTAAATTTTTCGAGTCATTAATTTAATCTAACTTTCTGCTGAAGTAAAAACAACAATGGCGAATCCGAATGCCTTCGATACCCAACAGCAAATTCCATAAAACATTTATGTAATGTCGGAATGTCAAACAGTGAAATCTATTTTTATGCGTTCAAATTATTGGAAATTTTTAACTAAGGTATAACGAACATTAATAATAGACTGTCTGTCTGTCTGTCCGTTTATCACCAAGCTGTATCTCACGAACCGTGATAGTTACACAGTTGTTGTGACGATATGAAATATGCAATGTGATATGAAATATACATGATTTTATATTGTTTTTAAATTCCTGACCTTTAGAATATTTTGCTGGATTTATGGTTACGGTACAGACTGCTTTATAAACCGTGTAGTATTCTCGTAAATACAAGAAATAATTATAAAAAGTATGTACATTCCAAATGTGTAAAAGATATAATATACTATAACACACACAAAGTTAACTGGCTCCTTTTAACCCTTCTTCCTGATCAACCCTAAGAAATACTCCCGAAGTATACAATTAAGTTATTTAAATTTTACATGAATGTAAGTTATACATTTTCTGTTAATCATGCAGTCAGTTATATTAAATAGATAGGTTCTCGGGTTAAACGTTTAAATGTAGTTTAAATAACATACAGTACCTACAAATGAAAATGGAGATGAAGTTACACGTAGTTTCAGTAATGTATCTACAGTTGTTAAACACATATATACACACCTACAGGGCTGTGGCTGATATTAGGGTTGGCAAAATTGGCACTTCGTATTATATAATAACATATAAGTCTTCTGAAAATAGTTATGAAACTATTTTACAGATTTTATCTTGTTTAATTAGATTTTTAAGTTCCTGACCTTTCGAACCCTCTCCAGCGTTCACGATCACGGGACAGACCGGCGGTTACCGATGTTCAATTTGATTATATCGTTCATCCAGGAATTCATTCTTCGAGTATTTGCATTTAGCTACACAGCTTTCTAAACCAAAACAAATTCCTGAGCAATCAAAATTACTGATATCGAGCAAAAAACGAGAACTTTGCGGTGGAAAAGTCTGCATTTCGGTGAAATTATCGAAAAAGATTTTTAACTGTATGCTATACTAGCTGCTGCCCGCGACGTAAGATTCAGACAGAAAGACAGATATACATAAAATATGTATATACATTATTAAAATTTATATAAATTATAGCCCATGTCTTATTTTGGTGTAAAAGCTATATTATTGTAAAGTTTCATTAAAATCCATTCAGTAATATTTGTGTGAAAGAGTAACAAACATCAAGAGTACTTTACTATAACTGTCTGTCTCCCACCGCTTCGCTGGGTATACACTACAGTATCTTATCTTCTTTAAGTCAAAAAAGTATAGGTTCCGGATATTATTTTTACCTATTTATATTTTTGTCACCAACATATCATATAGTAAAACCTTCTCCGCAACACGTTGCATCTTATGGTATGAATATTATTCCCATCGGTTCAGTACTTTTCGCAGTATAACCGTAAAACTCTCGCTCCATTTATTACTATAGATTATGTAAAGGATATTTACGTCGACTTCTTGGCGTCGCCTACTTTTGCCTCTTAAACATATAAAAATGTACACCTAACGAACGCACTCTATCAGTTTGATGCAAATGTTCAACTTAATTTATAAAAAATAACATTGCTATATAATTTTATTTTGATATAAATTTTTATATCGATTTTATATTGCTATAAAGTTATATAGCTATAGTATTTGGCGAAAATGGTCGACGGGACAATCGCAAATCGACCTACAGTGAGCTCTGCACAGATGTAAGATTTATATACGGACAAACTTTTGTTAAAAAAAATTCAGCACTAAAGTGGCAACCCTATAATTGTCCCACCGCGGTCGACCGCTCGTCCGCCGCAAAACCCTACAGCGCCGTTACCCGAAATTCCGCGCACTTTGCTACGGGAAAATTCGTATGAAAACGTATCTTTGTATGTAACCAGCGCCATTTCGCTGACGTTTTCGGGTTGATAAAAAATTAAATAACACCCGTAATAGCATATAAACTAATATATAATATTACACATACACAAAGCCAATTACTAGACTTCATAGAGTCAGTAACTCGTTCATGGGACGGTGTACACGCTTCTACAACAAAATCCCAGTTAATGTGCAAAGCCTATCTATTAACAGGTTTAAGAAATTTATTAAAGAAAAAGTTTTTAAAAAGGTTATTACAATATAATAGAGTACATTAACGATAATAACCCCTGGGAATGAGATGATCGCCCCTAAGCTGTTTCTAAATAAAAAGAAAATGTATTGTATAACAAGGTATTTGTGTATGAGAAAAAAAAATTACAAAAAAGAGGATACCTACGGAGTTTCTTTCGCCTGTTTCTTTTCCGCTAGAGGAACCTCATTACGAAAAGGTTATAGATTAAAAGAATAACTATCGATAGATGAAATGTATATTTCTTATTTCGATGAATAAATGATAAATGTAAAAAAAAATAATCTTTATTAAAACATCATTGGCACGGAATATCATTACTAATATTATAAACGCGAAAGTTTATATGTATGGATGGATGTTTGTTACTCTTTCACGCAAATAATGTCTTTCTGTCTGAATGTTACGCCTCCAGCCTATTCTACGCAGACGTAGTCGCGGGCAGCAGCTAGTAAAGTAATAAGAAAGACAAAGAGAAACGGGAACACAGTATCCGCTTGCAGTCGAGCGATCAATTCAAGATAAAGGACCCCGTAATCTTGGACAGGTGTGCGTCGTGCCACGTCTCACCGAAAATAATTAAGGTGCAGTACAAAGCAGGTGGTTTTAACGAGTGCTGGATCATCCAGTTGACTGTGCAACAAATTCATTGGCTCACTACTTCAACGTGTACGGAGCTATAGCGTAGTTTGATAGCTTATAGGCGAACATGACTTCCACGAAACTACATTAAAAGCCTATTTATGCCTCACTGTTAGGTTCTGGAACAGAGAGTATTAGCGCATAGTCCGCCACGCGACCCCAAAAGCGGGTTGGCAATTTTTCGAAATACTTTTTGAGGTGACAAACTGCACTGTGGGCCATTTTGGATGGGGATAATTATATAATCTTATCCTTTAAACGAGCAATTCTTGTATATAAACCGAATCTCGGAGTCGGCTCCAGCGATTTTTATTATTTGAAATTTGCGATTGAAATTTAGTGTGTGCGTAGATTCGGGGGGAAAAATCTATCTAGCTAGGTTTCATTTTTATAAAATGTCCTTTATCCCCTAAAATATCATTCGAATATGACAGTAAATTTCCCCAAAACAGACAGCCGTGGTTCGTATCACGATCATTTACACACTTATTTTTTTACTTTTTTTTCTATACCAGATCATTTTCTTTATTTTTTATTTTTTTTATTTCCAAAATACATAATTTACCAAAAAAAAAGGTCCTCCAGGTAGTTATGTATTATTTATAGATGTATTAATTATATAATTATGTATTATTTATAGATTTGTTTGTCGTTGACGCGAACCTATGTAGGTTCGCGACATGCATACACACACATGAAATACACACCATACGTAACAGCTCTCACACAGTGTGATTGACGTTGGTGATGTAAAAATTTTTGATATCATTTGTATCTGTAAGACAAAATTCTAGTAACTGGCTCTAGTATTTTAGACCGATTCTAGATTTATAGTCAAATCGTCTACATTTAAATTCAAACCGACCAATGCAAATGTCGGGTACTTAACAAATGCACGTTTGTACACCGTTAGTTCGTAAGATTGCGCTGAGCGACCATTTTGTCATCCCCGCGGAAGAAATTCTTGATCTACAAAAATTGAGCTTGCTGACAAAAAAAAGGTTTTAAATAAGTTTAAATTGATGGAGGCCTATGTCCAGTAGTGGACTCAAACAGGCTGAAATGATGATGATGAAGTTTAAATTTGTTTAATATTGTGTTCAATTTCAAAATATGACGGACGACACTAAACGTAGCAGCCCTAGCGGCTTAGATGCTAACTAGCGACCCGGGGTCACGGTTTCGAATCCACGTTGCGAGTTTCCATTTTCGAATCTATCACGTTCAAGGTTTCATATCTAATTTTTGTGTCCAAAATCCTGGTTACATGTAATGTTTAGTTTTAAAGAACGCAGTGAAAAGTTGAAAATGCAGAAAGTATATCTAACTTTACCAATTATGTACCTTCTTTATTCTCTCTCTTCTGTACTCTTCTACCGTTAGGCTAGCGTAAAAAGCGTTTTTAACATAATACTTAAGTGCGTAACTGTGATAAATGTTTAAAATAACAATTTCGATAGTTTACAATCTCGGCAAAATGCGCAACTTCATGAAATAAAATTTTTCTATTACCGTAATCATTCCGAAAGAATTTCTAAGCTATCATTTTGACGGGTCCCGTCTTCCGATTCCACTACAGAAATATTTGTGTCACTTAAGAAAATTCGTATCGGATCTAGGTTGTATTTATGGAAGTTAATGACGTGAGGCGAATCCATCTTCAGTCGAGTGACGTCGTGTAATGGAGACAGGCCGTCTCGGGCCGCGGTCGTTGACCTGCCGCCTCCCCCCACCCGTCCCCTCCCCCCCGCCCCCGCCACGTACCGCCGCCCCTCCCCCGCCCCGGGCATCCATCGCACGAAGGAATCCCATATAACATCGCCCCGGCATATTGCACGGAATCTAAGAAACGCGCGAACTTTCCAATAAAACCTCGCAGTTTCCACTGGCGATTGGGAGCGAGAAAAAATATCGCTCAATGCAGCCGTCTCCGTCCCTCTCACTTCAGCGCTGGCGTTCTGCACTGAGGTGCTCGTCTGGCGGAGTTCGCTTTGGAGTTTTCGATGTTTTCCCCGCGCAATATAGTTGGCTGAAATGTTTGTGTGTATTCCCTATAACGAACGCTTTTAGTGGACGGTCTTACCATTAAAATTTCGTATTAATGTTACTAAAAAGTAATAGTGAGAAGTAAAACAAACTGTCGAAGACTTTCCGACGTTACGAACGTGAAACGGACCTTAGGTGCTGTAGTAGTAGGGATAAAAGTCAGATTTATGACTACTTTACGTTACGGGAATACTTTACGTTATAGCGTAAAGTATTCCCGTAAACAATATAAACGAAAGAAAATAAAAAACAAATAGAAAACAGTTTTCTTCTGTAAAAGAAGTTTGATGAAAATATCGTTAATGACGTGATGATAGCAGAATTAGGAAATGAATTGTATTATGACCTAATATTTGATTGAAGACCTTGATATTTTTGATTGTTATAGAAATCGAATATTAATAAATACCTTTCGAACTCAAATCATCACAAAAATCTTTAATTCTAACAAAGATCTTGAAATACGTGAGAGTAACAATAAAAAAAAAACACTACTTGAACTCCAAATGTACAATAATGAAATGCTGAATTCAAAGTTCAAGTAATTTCAGTAGTTAACATGCATTGCCGTGAAAACTCAATAAAATTGTAAAAAATTTTTTTGAGTTTTGACGGCTCTTTTGCATATTAAATATTGCACTTACTAACATGTGTCACGTTAGACAATGACTCCAATGGCCTAAGCACAAACTGGAACTACTTGAAGAAATGTAGAAATAAATTGCAGAGAATAAAAATAGGCTAAGGTAATAACGGTTTCTGTCATTGGTAGTTAAATCGATGTAATAATGATAATCGATCAAATACGAAGTTGAATAATCTTAAATACTGTATGTATTAAAAGAATTTAATTCCTAAGAAGTGATAAGATAACAACTTAAAATATTAAAGTGGTTTTAATATTTAATGTTACATTTTACCCTTAGTAATGAAGACAATTTAAGTCTTAATGCACGATAAAGTTCTTTATGTCTATATTATTTGGTTAGTAAGTAGTTTAACGTAGAGGTCGCCACCTAAATACCTTTGAATTAATGGATTCTTTGGCACCATTTTTCATACATTAGTTTATTGTATATTATATCTAAGATCATATCTTATCAATATAAACAAACTATAAAACTAGTTACATACCCAATGATGTTTTAAAAATATAGATGACGCATGTCCATAGTTCGTAAGAGAGCCGAGAGAGAGTGATGAGCCGTGATAGCTCAGTGTCCGGGCGCTCGCCTTTAATTCTCCCTTAACTCGAGCAACCTGAGTTCGATCCCCGGTGCCGGCACCAATGAAGTTTTTAACTTTAAGTGCTGACTTATCACGTGCTCCGCGGTGAAGGAAAAAAACATCGTGAGGAAACCTGCATATTTTCGAAATAATAACAAAAAAATTATTTCGAAGATATGTGAAGTCCGCCAATCCGCAGTGGGGCCGCGTGGTTGACTATGCCCTGATACCCTCTGTATAGAGGAGGCCTTTGCCCAACAGTGGGACATGTATAGGCTGTTACTTTACTTTTTTATGTCCATAGTGCTCAGCGTTTAAAAATTCCGCTTTACAATAAATGACATATGTATATGTCAATGTGATGGATGATGTAGAACGTACGAAACGGAAAGAGATAGCTGTTTATAGAATTTCAAATTGCGTGCGGTATCAAAATATCTTTAATAGATTTAGATTTGTTTCAAGCTTTTATGACGGTCAGTAACCAGCACGCGTTCACTAAATAAGGCGATCCTAGAAAAAAACGGACAAGAAATTGCGTCAATGCATTTTTATTGATTCATAAAATTGATTATATTATGGAAAAAATTCGGATATTAATTAAGGGATGTACATGAACATGTTAATAATCATTTGATACATATTTAGTACGTAAACTTAAGAAATTATCTCTTGAATTTGTTCAAGTAGAAAGCATGAAGGGGATGCAGTGAGAAAAATCAATAGCTTCCCCTAGTAACCACTTAAAGACAGTTTTAAGAATTAGAAATTTCTCTAATTAGTAACGCTATTTTTAAATAGGGCATAAGATGAAACGATTTATGACTGACTGTCTTACGAGCCCAATCTATCAGGTACCGTCATCCGCCGTTCTGCCGCGAACCGTATCTAGGTCATCCTAATACATTATAATTACAGCGCGAGGCGAGTCTAATCCGTAAAATGTAGCAAAATTAATACGCTGATGAACGGGGGAACAGTGTGTTAAATTTGCTTTTACTGTGGTGTAGTAATAACACTAGATGTTCGACAAATGGTACCGTAACTAGGACTAGCGCCGTCATGGTGTACAAACGAATGTGTGGTCTAACGGATGCCCGTAAGGTCGCTTTTCCGCTGTCCACTCAGCTACACTTTTGCTTCGACTATGAAAGGACGAGTCAGACCAAAATACCGATTCCCAATTACCCATCAAACCAGCCGCTACTAACAATGTGTTTGCTCCATGCTATGAGTACTTACAATAAAAGGTATTCTAGACCAACGGCCATTTTGAAATTACGACTCTGACCATTAAGAAGATCATTCCGATCAATTCGGAGAGTTTAACCATCCTTTTGGCAACTCAAATGACATTTGAAAAGCCATTTGACAGCTGATTAGTTGACTCCTACGATCAGTGCTTCAGAAACCGGGCATCAGAATACAGGTTCTCAAAACCTAGTTCGGCGACGGATGCTATTGATCTATTGTAGTCATTTGTAACATTATTATGTATTAGCACTAGTCCAAAATTGTATAACTAAAAGAAAATAAACTTATAATTATTATTATTATCAGTGTCAGTGAATTTCGTCGGCACAATGACACGCGGTCTCAGGGCACGAATGGAATACAATAACCCAATTCGGATAATTACACGTCGTTAAGTGCCGTAGGAAACGGAGAGCGGGTACGGAGGTCGAGTATGATTCAATCCGGCGGGTTCTACGCGATTGCCTTGTCCCGGGAGGGGCTTTACTATGAAGCGGGGGGATTTAAAATATTTGCCATTAAAAGTAAAAAATAATTTTTGTCTTAAATAACCGAAGATTTATTTTTATTTTTAATGCCAATCTCTTGACTCAAGATAATTTTTTTTTGGCAACCGAGCATGCCTCCTGATTGCAAGTGTTCACCGCCTCCGATGGAAACTAGCAACACCAGAGCGGTCATAAATACGTTGCTGGCCTTAGAGGTTTTTTATTTATAGATGTATCATCAGTTCCACATATTTGATTATTCCTATTATATAAAAAATATGGTGGAACCATGCAGTAGCTTCTGCCAGTGCTTGAAAGATGGGGCTTATGTAACAAAGTACCACGGTCCCACAGAAATGCGACGTAATCTTGTAAGACTAATCGCCCTACACAGCCGTTACTATATAAGTGTTTCGTATGACATGCACCTCGCTTGCCTAACACGAGAACAATTTGTCGCGACCTGGCGGTCTACGGAGCACCGGTTGCCATAGCAACGTGGCGTAACTGTACCGCAAACCGCATGCTTCGAGGCCTGGCCAACGGCTTGTCAATGTTGCCATCTCTCTGGTTAAACCAATAATTGACGAGGTACAAGCACTATAATTTATATAAGCAATACATTTTTATAAAAGAAATCGACTTCATATGACACACTTACATTTTCTATTTAATTATAAGATTTATTGCATCTGATTGGTATTGCGATTAAATTAACATGTACATACATCGGAGCTAAACAATAGCAATGCAAAAATATTTTTTAAAATCGGTTCGTAAATGTCGGAGTTGTGACTAACATTAAAAATAATACAACCTCATCCCATTTTTACGATTGAAGGGAGCGCTGATTTCCGTCAACTCAGTTAAGGAAGAAATATATACGGCAGCCATTTTGACTGTAAATGTAAAAGTGTCGGCAGTTGATTTTACGACCTTATAGAAGACAGGTGTCGACCTGACACACGTACACGTTTTTGCGTTTCACTCAATAACTGTCAAGCTTAGGAAGTTAATTAGTCCATTTGGTGCATTTATTAATATACGTGTACTATTTATTGAAATTTCTTCATCTCCAATAGATTACGAGTAAAATAAATCTCACTGGGAATGAATAAAGTAAAAGTAAAGTAACAGCCTACACATGTCCCACTGCTGGGCAAAGGCCTCCTCTATACAGAGGGTATCAGGGCATAGTCCACCACGCGGCCCCACTGCTGATTGGCGGACTTAACATGTCTTCGAAAAATATTTTTTTTGTTATTATTTCGAATATATGCAGGTAGCCTCACGATGTTTTCCTTCACCGCGGCGCACGTGATAAGTCAGCACTTTAAGTTAAAAACTTCATTGTTGCCGGCACCGGGGATCGAACTCGGGTCGCTCGAGTATATTGAATTGAAGGCGCCGGGACACAGCTATCACGGCTCGAATGAATAAACTAGCAGAGTTAACTGGAGAACCGCTAAAATGGCAACACCGCCACGGGCTGGTTAACGCCGATTGGGAGAGTAGCGGGCCGGCGGCGCACGTCGTTGGTCTTGATCGAGTGGCCGCGTCAGATCTGAATGTTGATTGATTCGCGATTTCCACGCCATTAGAGCGAGAGATGACTCGGCAGTTACAATCTAATAAATTTTGACTCAGTAAGCGAGCTACTAGATTTAGTTCTTGATTTGGCGTAAAAAGATAAAAGGCGTTATAGCTGTACACATTAGTGCAAGGGATGATATTATTTTCTTTTTCTTATTAATGTACTAGCGACCCGCCCCAGCTCAACACGGGTGCAATGTATTATGCATATAAACCTTCCTCTTGAATCACACTATCTAGTAAAAAAAACGCATTAAGATCCGTTGCGTAGTTTTAAAGATTTAAGCATACATAGGGACAGACCGACAGCTGGACGACTTTGTTTTATACTATGTAGCGATATGTGTCTAATAAAATATTGGCGTGTCTAATAAAAAAAGCTCTAGGCAGCGAAATAAAGTCAATTTAGTCGTCATGAAAAGTACCCTTTTTTACGTGGATAAAATCCTTCATGGATCCCCTGCCACCGGATCGGGGG